CGGCATTTATTATCGGCCCATTACCGGCATTTATTATCGGCCCATTACCGGCATTTATTATCGGCCCATTACCGGCATTTATTATCGGCCCATCAAATTTATTTTCTACAAATAATATAATACAATTTCAAACAAAAATATTTTATAAAATCTCACCCCCCTAAAAGTATTTTGAACAAATTTCAAAAATATATTTTCCTTGTTAGACACTACAATATAATTTTATATATATATACAATATAATATATATATATATATGTGTGTGTGTGTATAGTTCTTATCGTATGTTTCTTATTTTAAATTCATTCTTTAAAACACACAAAAAAAAAACGTAATGAAATACTAAACTTTATTTTGGTCAAACATACTAGAGTTTAAAATGATATGAGTGTTTATCTACAAACCACAGGAAGTTAAAAACGAGACTGACTGTTTAACGATAACAATTCTTTTCTCTTCTATTTTTTCCTTTCTTTCTATTTTTTTTTTTTTCTTTAATGAAATATATTCTCAACGTGGTCATCTGTGTAATCGTCAAAAAATGTGTCAAGGTAATTTCAACTATAACTCAAAGATTCTTTTCTTATCTTTTTCCTTTTCTTTTCCTTTTCTTCTTTTACTTTTACTTTTACTTTTTCTTCTTCTTCTTCTTCTTCTTCTTCTTCCTTTTTTTATTTTTTTATTTTTATGAGACACATATATAAAGAGACACACACACACACCCACAGATACTCTCGTTTTTAACAGAGAACGATCATCTCGTGGGAAGTTTCGTATTTTCTTGTTCCCTTAACTGGTATCGACTATCCAGAATCTGAAGGGCTTCTTATAAGAATTCCTTCGTCTACATTATCGTCTTACAAACGTCAAGTTCACGTAATTATCGTCTCAACAAATACACACACACACACACATTTTTATTTTTTATTCTTATTTTTTCTTATTTTTTTCTTTCCACCCTATATATATATATATACTGTTTTATTTTATTATTTTTTTTATACACTTTTTCTACATCAACCTGTTGACCTGACCCAACCCCCTCCATTTTTTTTTATTTAATTATTAAAATGAATATTGAAAACACTGTAATTGCAAAAAAAAAAATACAAGATAACCAAAAATTTATTTTAATATTAATAATACCCTAGAATAGTAAAAAAATAAACTAGGTAACAATATGATAGTGTTTCTTTTCTTGAATTTTAATTCATATATACATAAACACTCGACATACACAGGTGTACGCACTCACATTCACATATACATATACTCGTAAGGAATTTTTTTAGGATTGGTTTAATAATCAATAAAAAGAACTACAATTGTTTTTTTTTTTTTTTGTTGGTTTTTAATTTAAAACTTAATGAGATTCACAATTATATTTTAATCCAAACTTATATTTAAATTCTTTACAAATATTTACAAGACAACGAAACATAAGCGTGATAATCCATAATCGTATTATAAAAAAAAAAAAAAAAATAAAAAAAATAAAAGAAATTAGAATCAAATAAAAATATAAAATGAAAGAAAAAAAAAAACCGAAGAAAAATATACAATGAAGAAAAAGCGTAAAAAATGAGAACCAAATAAAAATACAAAATGAAAGAGAGAAATGGAATCAAAGAAAAATTAAAAAAAAAAAAAGTAAAAAAAAAATGAACGATCAGTAGATAAAAAAAAAAAAAAATATTCAATACATATACAATGAAAGATGACGAATAAAATTTACAAATGATTTATTATACAGTAACGTTTAAATTATCATAGCTTATATCATCGATGAAACAAATAAAATATCCCATGAATCATCATGAAAGTTACCCAGGAAAAATTTAAACGAGTTGGACGATCATCCATAAAGTGTATGTGTGTGTGTGTGTGTGTGTGTGATTCATGTATTATTTGTATTTCGTAAATATTTTAAACACAAACACAAGTATGTTTGTGTTGTTGTTGTTGTTGTTGTTATTTTGTCTCTCATGACGTAATACAATAATTTGCATCAACTATCCTTATTTCTTCGAAGAATTTCAAACTAATTTGCATTTGATCACGTGAAACTATTTGACGTAGGTACACACACACACATACACACACACACAAAGAATTAAAAACAAAAAAAAAAGAAAATCCCACTCGTTGTTCAATGTTAATCGTAGTAAAGAATTTGATTTATGTTTCAAAAACAAATATTTCCATTTAAAAACTAACAAGTTAAATAATAATAATAATAAACGTTTCATAATCATAATGATTTATAAATATATATATATATATATCAAATGAATGAAATATATTTATAATAATAATAATCATAATAATAGTCAATCCAGATTGACTATAAATCTGAATGAATTTCAAAATTAAATGGAATACAATTTTTGTTGATCTCATTGACGATGATATTCTGAATCTATACTTTCAAATATATATATGTATATATATATAATTTATTATATAACATATATATATTATTATTATTATTATTAATAGAAAAAGAAATAACACCACGTGCAATGAATTTATTGGATAAAATATAAATTTAGAAATTTTGCTTACAAATAAGACATTTGTTTAAGCAAAATTTAAATAATAAAAAAAAATTGTAAAAAGAAGAGCCAACGAAATGAAAGAATGTGTGTGTGTTTTTTTTATATTCAGATTACACGTATGTATATATATATATATATATATATGAGATGTATAAGTATAATATATATATATATATATATATATACAGAATACATATTATGTGATTGTAATTCTTATCATTTAAAAGATTTCATGTTTAATACTTTACATGTATATTATTGTTAGATCAAATAATTTCTTTTTTTTTTTTTTTATTTCATTTATTTATTAATTTTTTTTGTTAAATTGATCTAACTAAAAAAAAAATAACAGATGATTTTTAACTGAGAAATCTTTGAAAATGTTTGATGCTTAGTTTTTAAAATGTGACGTGATTCTCGTAATAATATTATTAATTAATTAATTAATTAATTATTACCATTTTAATTTTTTATACCAGCTAAAAAAACAAAATGATATATCATCACTCGTCCAATTGAAATCATATGTTATTTTTTAAGAAGAAAAAAGAAAAAGAAAAAAATAGAAAAAAACATTCAATCATTTTGTTTATTTATGAGATGTCGATAAGTCTCAGTAAGCTCTAAGCCTGACTTCCATTTCTGGGTCTTGTCGATGGGTCATATGTGGTTCAATACCAGCACTTGTAGTACCCGTACCACCTGTACCAGTCACATGATGACCCTGATGATGATGAAGATGGTGATGATTTAAATGTGGTGCTTGAGCTGTCCCACTCCTGTAACTTTTCTCGTGCAAATCGCGACCACGTCTGCTGTAAACTTCCAATTGATTGCGCAAATGTGCATCTTCCTCGGCAGCCAATTCTTCATCGTATTCCAAACAACCAACACCATCTAATCTATCAAGGTCGATCCATCCACGCCATCGTACACAAACACCGTTCATAATCAAATGGGATCTTAGGTGTACCTGGAAACAATTTCAATGACAAACAAACCTATAACCATGCATCACAATTGTTTTTATTGGAATTATTATTGTTTAAATATTTGATTGTTAATTAGAAATGTTTTTTTTTCTATTGTTTTATTAGGTGTTTTAATTTTTTGATTTATTTATTTATTTATATTTTTCAATTGTATATCTTAATATATATAAATTAGGTGTCACGTTGTTTGTCCGCAATGGACTCCTAAACTACTGAACCGATTTTAATCAAATTTTCCACACTGTGTGCAGTTTCATCTAACTTGAAAGATAGGATAGTTTATATCTCAATTTATTGCGAATTATTTGTTTATTAACAAAGAGTCATGATTATCTTTGTTAGTTCGATAAGATTTTAACAGACGGCGGTATAAGGTAATTCGTTCACTTAAAGATGTGTGTTTCGGACTGACTGTGAGCCACAGTAACGCGTGGCGGGACACCCTTAGTATATATATAAGTTATTAATTATTTTATTTAAACAAATATAGGTGTTATATATATTTTATTATATTATTATTTTATTATATTTATTTATTATTATATATATTTTATAAAATAAATATATATTGTGTGTGTGTGGGATCTCTGGCAGAGGCGTGGGGCGTAAGCAAAATTTGACCTATCTATTCTAATTTTAAATTTAGCCACCAGATAGCGTATTCAAGTGTTAGAGATCCCAATATGTAACATATTTTATTTTTAATATTATTATAATTAATATTTTCAAGAATATATATACACACGTTATTGGTTATAATATTTTTTTTTTGGCGGGAATTGGTTTGTTGTTTTCTGTTCTTGTAAAATGTGTTCCAACCTAACCTCAGATATACAATAATTTATTTTTATCTTCTTTTTGTTAATTATTAAGATAAGTATTTTAACCATACTAAAAAAAGTAATTTCTCTTTACCTTCTTCATCCACTAACATAACCTTAAACGATTCTTATTTCGAAAACGATTACGCAGATTGGAAGGTACGGATCACCGGTGGTCTAACCTTTTTCTTCTGTTTTTTCTTTTTTTTTTTTTTAGGTTAAGTCTGGGATATCAAATTGCGAGTTAAGATTGTGCCAATCTTCTGAGTTGTTACTTATTCTCGTCAGGATAGAAAATTATTGTTCTTTTTTTACTCAACAGGTAGAATTCAATTTATGTTTCTTATTTTAATAAAATATAAAATGATGTAAAAATAAAAACAGAAACGCAAGAAACATAAGAAACATGAGAAATGATAAAACGTAACAATGATTGTACTAATTCGTGTTATTATTTTGATATTTGTAGTAATACTATAATTTGTGTTGTGAAGGATCATTTTGAGAAAAGAAAAATAAAAAAAAAAATAAAAAATAAAAGAAAAATTGGTGTGATAGAAGAAAAAAAAGAGAAAATAGAAATTTGTTGAAGAAGGAGAAAATTTGAGGGGAAAAATTGTAAAACTGTTGTGTGTTGGGTCCGCAAGTTACTTCGAAACGAGCAATTATCTTTCGTCAGGGAGGAGGTTATGTGTGTGTGTCTGTCTGTTTGAAAGATAGAAAGAGAAGGAAATAAAAAAAGAAGAGAGGGCTATTTTATTTCTTGACAAATGGTACGGTTTCCGGTCCCGGTCCCGTCTCGTTCAGTCCCGTCCCGTCCCGTGAAATCGTTTGTAGCATCGTACAAAATAAAGAAAAAAGGAAAAAAAAAGAAAAAACAAGAAAAAGAAGAAGAAGAAGAAGAAAAAGAAAAAGGAACGCGTTATATAGAGGAGTTAAAATGTATTCTTAAAATTCGTTCTCAAATATATTTCCTGTTGTTTTACGGAAGCACGTACGAAAAATATTTGTCATTGTTCAGTCGACATAGTTTTTTTGTTTTTTTTTTTTTTTTTTAATTTATATTTCGAATTAGTTTATCACTGTATTCGGACAAAAAAAAAAAGAATACAAAAAATATCGTTTCAATAATAATTACGTAAATTGAAAAAATATATTTCCAAACAATTTTATAACAAGTGAAATAATTAACAACAACAATAATAATAATAATTTATTGATTATATATTTTATTATTTATTTTTATTATATTTGTTGTTAATTATTTTGTTTTATATATTTGTTGCAATTGATTCTAAATTAAATCAAATTATTTTGTCTTTAAGAAAATAATTAAAATTATTTGTACATAACCTTACTAATTGTATTACCAATTGAACTCAGTACAACTCTAATAAATACAACAATTTATTAATTCCTAAAATTTAAGTAAAAGAGAAAATTCTTGTTGCAAAAAAAAAAGAGACACATAGAAATAATATAAAAAAAATGTACAATAAAACTTACAGCTGTTTGAGTAAAATAAACGTGAACAATAACTAGCAACACCGTAGGACATTTTTATTTATATGAAATTATGAATTGTGAGTATTTTTTTGACAACGGGTGGGCATCGATTTACTTCGATCTAAACGACAATCGAAGGGCTCCAACTTCCTACATCCAATTACAAAAAAAGAAAAGTAGAAAGGTACAATACGAATCAAACGAGAAACTAATTTTTAAACAAAATCGTAACCTTTAAAAATTACTAGTTTAATAATAAAAATAATCTAAATATAAAAATACTATCAAATGATCTTATTTGTTTAAAACAATGTCCGCCAAACAAATTTCTATTTAAAAAAAAAAAAACATAATATTAATTTATAATTACTATTATTATTAAAATAATTATGAATAATCAAAGTACAACTAAATTACAACGTACGTAAAATAAACCCTCCTGTTATATAACTATATATATATATATATATATATATATATATATATATATATTATATATATAAACCTTTTCACGAACCCTCGTTAAACGTTCTCACGCGATCAGAGTTATTTCATTGTTTTTTTTTATTTTTTATTCGAATATGTTTTTTTCTTGTTATTGTTTTTCTAACACCTCTTTCTCTCTATCATGTCTGTGACTTGGGCGTGACCCATTAGCGGCAAATAATGGTAGCCGATATTTAAACTGTAACGTTTTAACACCGTTAACGATGCGTATCTTGTTCGTAAGTCAGAACGGCAACCCTTTCTTCTCACATTGATCTAATTTGCATTGGTGGTGGTAAGAAACAAAAAAAAAAAAGTGTGAAAAAAGAAATAGGACAAGGAAAGAAATATAAGTCATAAGTCGTAATACGGATCTGTTAGGAGTAAAAGGGTTGACAATTTTTAGACCACCGTCCTATATATATATCTGTATATGTGTGTATGTGTTAGAAATGAGGGAGAACACTTTGTAAAGGGAGAAGAAGAACAAGCAATATGTTTGAAAACGTGTGTACGGAGATAAATGACCGGCTAGCTAGAGTTAGGTCCTACTACGAAGGTTTTATACTCTTTTGTTTTTCGGTAGGCGTTACCTAAAGGTACCTTTTTGTGCAAGGTCCACTCTCTTCCTGCACAAAAGGGCGAACATTAGTCAGTGATAGCCCTTCCCCGAACGTACAAATCCCTCGTAGAAAAAGGCAAGGTCGTCAAGATGAGATAGGTTAGAAAAGATATTAAAATTACTATGGTCAGTATGAGTCCAACAAAAAATAAAGTAAAATAAAATAAACCTTGAACATAATACTTATGTTTCTTCCTTTTATTTTATTTTTTTTTTATTATTGTTTAACTTTGAATTTTTCTCAAACGAAACATTAGGGGGGTTGCAATGAAAATTCTTGTTTGTAGATTTTAGGTTAGATTTGTTTACTCGTTGCATTATTGTAATATTTTGTGTAATATTTGTTACTTAAAAAAATAATATTATTTATATGATTGAAAAATTATTTATTTAAGGACAAATGTTAAGTCCCTTTTATATTATTTTATTTTATTTCTTTCTTTTTTTTTTTATTGTTTTAACTTTGAATTTGTCTCGAACGAACAATTGTTCAAAGGTTTTAGGTTAGATTTGTTTACTCGTTGCATTATTGTAATATTTTCTGTAACATTTGTTACTATAAAAATAATATTATACTTATAATTAAAAAATTATTTACTTAACAACAAATATAAGTAGTAAATTACTAACCTAACAATTTAAAAAAAGAAAGAAAGCAATGATACTCGGCTAGTCAAAACTATTCGAAACCATTTCAAAAAATRGACGACTAGTCATTGATAAAAACTACGAATTAACGAATATTAAATCAATTATTTTTAATTGTTCACTTATCTTTATTGTCTTTTGTTAATAATCTTAATGAGTGTTAACTCGTTAAATTCCACACACGACAATTTGGATCGTTTCTTAAAGTAAAAAAAGAAAAAGAACAAGAAAAATGGCTCCAACAATATTTTGATAACATCTCTTTCATCATCTAGAAGATCTAGAAATCTCAATGCGTAATTACTGTTCCTCGACAAGGAAGGGCAAAACCCGAAGACAATGCGAAAAGGGCACGTGTCGCCCTAACGTAGTGTTCTTTATGCTGCTGCCGTTTCCTTTCTCTTCTTTTTTTACTCTTTTCATTGTCCGAATAAAACAAAACGTTAGAACGATAGTAGGAGTAATAGATTTGTGCCCTACGATTTATTTTTAAAACAAAAAAAAAAACAAAAAAGGTCCTTCACAGTTAACGAGATAAAAAAAGTACCAATTGAATATCTAATTAATTATTTATCAATACTCGTATTTGTCTTTACTAATGATAAACAAATATAAATTCTAAAGTAGTTTTGTTTTTTTTATTCTTTTGTTTCAAATGATTCATGATTGATTAAATGATTAATACGAAATAATTTGTTGATTTGTTTTCTCGTAGTACATTACATTTGTTTCACGTAGTACACTAAACTTGTTTCTCGTAGTACATACTGTACATTTGTTTCACGTAGTACACAATTAACTTGTATTAAATTATATTCTATTTTATTTTATATATTATTATTTTTTATTTTATATATTATTATATAATATTATATTTTTATTTGCAAAATTAAATATTTATAAAAATGAGTGTTTTAATAATATATATTTTTATATTAATATAATTGAAATTTATTAAATAATAAATAAATATAAATAAAAAAAATCTAATATTTATATAATTAAATTATAATTAAAAAAAGTATAATATCAATATATTAATTTATAATAAATATATAAATATATATCTAATGTAATTTGACGTAAAAACTCTATTAGATCAAAATTGATTAATTTTAAACAAACAAAATATATAAATAATAATTTTTGAATATTTTCTTACTAAAATTTACTTTTCTAATTTTAAAATGATTGCATCAAAAAGTGAAAAACGATGCAATGGAGAAAAATAAGAAGAAGAAGAAGAAAAAAAAAAGTGGATTCTATGTTAAACTTTAAAATGACCTGAGGATAACACTCGAAAAGAAGGTTCAAAGAATGCGCCTTGTGTGTGTGTGTCACCTAAGTAGATTTACGAGCGTTCAAATTAACGAACACGAAACTGACTGTTCAATCTCACAAGAATATTCCATTCCACTGTCGAAATAAACTTCGTTTTTTAAAAAGAACACATTAATTCCATTAAACATCCAAATATTAACTAACAATAAAGTTAAATGTTTAAACATAAAATGTATAAAAAAAATAACTACTACCAATCTTTCCAAAAACAAATAAAAAAATATTTAAATAAATAACACATAAAATTCATATATATAAATAAATACGAAATAATTTGTTAATTTGTTTCTCGTAGTACACTAAACTTGTTTCACGTAGTACACTCAATTTGTTTCTCGTAGTACACACTAAACTTGTATATAAATATAATGAAAAAATAAAAACAGTGTATTACATGAAACATTTTATTTGTTAATTAAAAATATTTAGAATGAAATGAAATGTAACAAATAATTTTCTAATATTTCAAAAACACACCCCACACACCCCACACACACTCACATATACAAACATGCATTACACATTAAACGCAATTTACGAATTATTCGTAATAACAATAAAAATCAATGTGTTAATAAATAATTCCTCAAAATATTACGTATCCTTAAAAAAAAAAAAAACCACCTAAATCTGCGAGTTATTTGTAAGTGTAAAAAGAAAATGGCGGGTGTCCAGGAACAAACTATCGATCGCAATGGCGAAGTTGGGATGTTTTCTCCCACCCTTTTGACTATATTTCGTCCTCGAAATACAAGGACAAAGAATAAAGGAAAGATTTGACAATAATAAAAAATTTAAAAAAAAAAAAAAAGGGACGAAGAAAATAATGAAAAAGAAGGTAAGGTATACCTTCTTCCTTCCAATGAAAAGTTTCATAGAATTGATCCTTAGGAATGTTTCCTATACTTTTTCAGATTTTAACAGAAAACCTTTTTTGTTGAATAGCTTCAAACCAATTTGTAGTAATAGTAAAAGACATTGTGAATTATTGGACACCAAATAGAATATATCTATGTGTGTATGTGTGTGTGTATAAGTTACAACAGTTAAATTCAGAATAGAAAGAGAGAGAGAGAGAGAGAGAGAGACTCCCTGCAGAGAGAAACGTGAAAAAATCTTTTCTTAAGGAATTTAGGTCAATTCTATGACACAAAATGATATAATTCATCATTAAATTATCTAAATAAATTGATCTAAGTTTACTACGTGATTCAAAGTCACGATTAATTCTTACAAATGAATGAAAAATTAATGTGAATGTGAAAAATTGAATGTTTTTATTATATTGAAATTAATTTTATTCTTAGATGAATTGTGAGAAATATTATTTAATAATGTAACAATTATATTTTGTTTTATTAATAAGACCAATGAATATTTGAATTTTGTTTTATTTTTAAGTTTAAGATATTATTATTATTATTATTATTATTATTTATGTAATTAATTTTGAAATTGTTTGATTTAAAATAAGATTTGAAAAATGAATCTTACCTTGCCGTGTTCCTTATCAAAATCACAATCCTCTCTTCTATCAGGTGGGTAATTTCCACAAGCATTACCAAAAACAATTTGTAAATTAGTTCCGGTTGCTGCAAATGCTATATCGACTTGCCCTTCACGGCAACTATTTTGAAAACGCACTTGACGTTCTTCCATAGGCCTATCACGATATCCGGTGTACCTTACCTATAACAATAATAATAATAATAATATAAATTCAGATATTTACAAATAATTATAAATACATACGTTATGTATCTCAAATATTTCTAATCAATTTATATAATATCAGAATTTATTCAAATCAATTTGAAACGATTTATTCAAACAGTTTACGTCAATATTTACACAAATATTCAACGTACATTAAATGAAAAAAATTAAAAAAAATATATATATGTATATATATATACGTATATTTGAATTATTGAATTATAGGGAATTTATAACAGTTAACGATTTTCATATTAGTGAATACATATATATAATATTTAAATAATAAATTAATATATATATGATTATAAGGGGTATTAGTATTAATATATTAGTATATTAATATATATTCGAATTACAGGGAATTTATTACAGTTAACGATATTAACATTAATTAATAATACATATATATAATATTTAAATAATAAATTATACAAAAAGATAAACTTTCTTTTTTTACAGTAATACATGTATTGCTGCATGCATTAACATTTATATTTACAGTAATACATTCGTATTACATTTAATATAAAATAATTAACTAATAACACATATATATATATACACATATAATATTTAAATAATAAATTATACTCAAATCCAAACTTATTTTTACAGTAATATATATATATATATATATTTTATTAAATA